TTTAGATTAGTATTTCCTTATCAAAGTAATACAAATCGAGGAGATTGGGACTTTCGACAGAGAAGTGATAAAGAACATCATAACGTAAAAACTATGACAGAACTCGAAAAATTGCCTATAGACATGATCAAAACATTTCCTTTGGACTACATGCATGTCGTTTGCTTAGGCGTTATGAAAGCCTTATTGAAGTCATGGATTAAGAAAAAAAATCAAACGTATTCTTTGGATTCAAATAAAATTAGATCGCTCAATTTAGAATTTTTAAATGTAAGACATTGCATTCCTCGTGAGTTTTGCCGCACTCCGCGAGATTTTACTGAATTGGATCGATTTAAAGCGAGTGAATTTCGCCAATTTATGTTGTATACTGGACCTGTCGTTTTAAGGGGCATTCTAAATGATGAAAGATATGCCCATTTTTTGCTATTAAGCCTCGGTGTTCGCATTTTGCTATGTAAAATTGATTGTAAAAGGAACAATAATTGTGCCACTGAGCTTTTAAACGATTTTGTGAAGAGAGTTCAGAGTTTATATAGTGAACATTTATTAACCTACAATTTTCATTGCTTAACGCATCTGGCGGATGATTCATTACAGTTCGGTTCCCTTGAGACAATCAGCGCTTTTAAATTTGAGAATAAACTTGGAAAAATAAAATCACTTGTAAAAAAAAGAATAACATAACTTCTCAGTTATACAACAGAATTGTGGAGCAAAGCATAAATTCAAACCGAGCAAGCATTAAAAACAGTGTCAAGAAAAAATATATAAAAAATAAGAACTTCTACTTATCGGAAAGGGCACCTGACAATTTTGATCTTGTTGACAAGAGAATTTTCAAAGTGCATTCTGTCCACACTGCTGAAGAAGTCGTATATGGTGTTCGTATTCAAGACTTAGAAAATTTGTTTGATAATCCCCTGCCGTCTTCCTTTTTAATATCTATTGCACAAGAGAGCTGAAGTACCACAACTCCATTGAAGTGTGTAAAATTCAGGATATAACTGCAAAGATTGTAGCATTGTCAAATATTGAGCAAAATTTGTACAGCTTTATTCCTCTTATCTCAGACCATGTCACATTCTAATTTTAAATATGTACATTCATGCAACACCAACATTGCAGACTCGTAGTTCAGAGGAACTGCAAGAGACTCAAACGTTTGTTGTACTGCAGCCGAGCCCAGTTGTTAATAGTGGAGAATCTTCTTTAGAAAGCGCAAATTCATCAAGTAAGTATTTAGATTAGTTACTAACGAAATTTATTTTATTATTTTTTTAATCCACTATTAAATTTTTATACCCGAGCGCACTTGTGCACAAGGGTATTATAACTTTGTTCACATAACGGTTGTTTGTAACAGGCAAAACGAATCGAGATAGATATAGACAAATGTATACATAAATGATCAGAATGAAAAGAGAAATCGATTAAGCGGTGACTGTCTGTCCGTCCGTCCGTCCGTCCGTCTGTGCACACGATAACTCGAGTAAAAATTGAGATATCTTAACGAAACTTGGTACGTGAACTTCTTTTGGGTGTGGGACAGATGGTACTGAAAATGGGCGAAATCGGATAATAACCACGCCGACCTCCCATATAACGGTAATATTAAGAAATACGAAAACTGCGATATTTTAGTAACTACTGAAGATAATTCACTCAAAATTGATATTTACAATAATTTTTAGACGAAAAATAAGAATATTATACTTTTTTGGAAAATGGGCGTAGCCACGCCCATTTATGGTTGCATATGTATATCTTAGGAACCGCTCCACCAATTTCTTCCAAACTTGGCACAGTTGTTGGCCCTCGCACAGCATACCAAATGGCCGAAAATATTTTAAAATCGGACAATAACCACGCCCACATCCCATATAACGGCAATTTTCGGAAATACGAAAACTGCGATATTTTAGTAACTACTGAAGATTATTCACTTAAAATTGATATTGAC